ACTCAAGCAAGGGCTGAGGGCCCCTCAGGGGCCAGGTGGAGGGAACCTTTACTTCGAAGCTTCTCAATTGAGGGTCAAGGTGGAGAATTGTTATATTGATTCACAATTATTGAACTAAGGTAAAATGATACTTTTGTAATGTGACACTGCTCACCTACCACATCTCACTTACCGCTCACCTACTTCCCACCTACCACTCTCTTGCTTCTATAAATAGAGAGAGTGTGAGACTTAGGAGAGCAAGGGAAGAAATCTTAAGCTACCACAAATGATGAGAGAATAGCTAGAGAGCTATAGAGGAGGAGAGCATCTTGAGGCCTTGTATCAAGGTGTCGCTTGAGAGGGAGACCATAAAAGGAAGATGAGGGCTCAGCTCTATGTATAAGCTATGTATTCTCCATTTTTTTTGTCTTAGCGAACTATTTGATTCATTCCCTCCCGTGGACGTAGATCCAGTTGTATCGAACCACGTAAATGATTTGTGTTCTTTGCGGTTCATTTCTATGTCAGGAAGTACAGATCTCACAACAGGGTCAAATGAAAAATTCCAACCCGAATCTAACCCATATGACCCATTTGATAGTGGTCAATGGCTTTCATGTTGCAGCTCATGGAAGAATGAAAAATTAACTTTCGCTCTCTCTCTCTCCTCCTTCTGAACTTAAATATTGATAGAAGGCTTACTAGTTCTTTGCCTCAAGGTAGCGATTGTTGCATTAATTGTAGTCATCTAAAGCATTGAAATCTATTTCCTTGAAGATTTCAGTGTATGTATTTACACAACACAATATTTATACATGTACATATCTTACACCTAAACTATGATATTTATATTTATTATGCTATGGTGTAAGAAATTTATGCATGAAAAAGTGTTTTCTTTTTTTAGGTGATATTAAAGATTCGGAGTGTTATTTATGTAAATATTAAAATTTAGGTGTAGATATGTGACTGTATGAATGTAAATCGCCTAAAGTAAGTTGGCCTAAATGATGACAAGTCATAAATACTTTTTTTTTTGTTCTTTCAAATTACTCTTCTTATTGAGTTCCATGTGATTAAGAGAACTGATGTAGTCATGGTACTTTTTTCATATTTATTGATCAACTATATGTGAGGATATATGAGAGATAATGGAAGTCAAGTTACAGTTGAGTGTTTAACCAAAGGGCCGACTATAAGACATCTCTAAAGGACTTCAACTTAGGAGATAATCACAAAATTAAGACCAATAAGATCACCCAATGTTCAAAATGTTTGAACACAAGCATAAATAATATTATGACTTATTATAATTAATATTCAAGCCTAAGATAGGGAGAGAATCATCCTTGCTTGTAAAGATAATTCTCTATCTCATAATAAATTAAGGGTGGTCTTGACCATCACTATAGATGACTATCATTTGGGACAAAAAAATGATCGAGGATTAACAAGAATTATTGAAGTGTTTTTTTTAATTGTGTTATTGGCCTATTTTGATTATAATACATGGTTCATAAATTATGATATTAGACAAAAATAGTACTCATACAATATAAAAAAATTTGAATGGCAAATCTAGCACAAATATTCATTCGAAATACACATTTTATATCTGATGAGAAATTTTATTCAATTTATACTCACGAGCTTAGATTATTTCAATTCTTTCCAACTATGAAATGTTAATTTAATATTATTTGGGAGCTATAGCATGCATGCCACACAATTCTTATGTATTTATATATCTTGGACCTAAAATTTCATGTTGATATGTATACTACTCATATTTATGATATAACAAATAAAAAATATTATGATTGCTTATTTTTTAATAGTTAAATATATATATATATAATTCTATAAGGTGATCAATAATAATAATTCCTTTGTAAATACCATGATAAATATTTATATATCTTGCATCTCCATTGAGGAATCTTTAGGTATAATGCGTGCTAGAAAATTCGTGGCGGTAGAGTAATGAATTATTGTCTTAGCGTTGCGCCATGATTCAATACACACTCATATGAAGATGAATCAAGCTGTGATAACACCAGAAGTTTTTACGTGGAAAACCCGTAAAGGGGAAAAACCACAAGGTCTGACCAAGTTGTAAAAATCCACTATAAGTTAATGATTATATATGTGTCTGACCAAGTTGTAAAAATCCACTATAAGTTGATTATATCAGATGCCCCTTGTCCCACAAGCGGGAAAATGTTACTAGCTTTCCAAGTTACAATGTCGACTAGTCAACGGTGGCAATGGTAGTTGATGACAATCGATGGCGGTCGGCGGTGATCAACGGAGGTCAGCGGTGGTTGTCGACGGTCAGTGATGGTCGACGACGATCAACGACGGCGATGATGATTGTGGTTGTCGACGGTCAGTGGTGGTCGACGACGATCAACGACGATGATGATGATTTTGGACTTGACCTCCTTCTCAAAATCTCAAGTTCTCTCTTAAGCATCCTCCTTCTCATGTGAGAGGTGATGCTCTATTTATAGTGTTTTGAGTGCAATTAATGCAGAAATATGAACAATTTTGATCGAGCGGTCTAAAAAGCTTCTGCGGTCCAAAAAGCTTCTTTTGATCAGATGACGTTTGATGGACATTTGAGTGCCTTAACGATGTCGAAATTGAGCAATCTTGTGCTCGTTGGACTCCTCTTATCGAGACGCTGGATTCGACAATGAACTCGCTAGATTCGACATTCGTTTGACCTTTCAAATGCCTTCATTTCAAATGCCTTTCAAATGCCTTCAGAAATCCTCCAATAGTGGTTTAATGATTTGATTCGGGCTTGATTTAACTTGGATTAAACTGACTTTCATATCATTAGGTCTATCTCATTGAGTCGATCAGTTTGACTATAAGTTTGCTAAAATCGGAGCTCCGGATGACTCTTAATCGAAGTTTGAATGATTCTTGTTTAAAGAATTGCATTGAAATTCAAGCTGACTGATGAAAATTTGTTGGTGACGTATCAAGTTATGATTGATCAATCATACCTAAAGAGAAGAACACAAAGGATCCTATTTGAGAAAAGGCAGAAAGTGAGAGTTGACAAAAATTCCTCAATGGAGGAGAAAAAAAAAGAGAGAATTCTCTCTTTTTTGTATCACCCTAATAGGTTTCGGTTTAGACAATATGCAACTTGAAATCAAGGCTGGCCTGTAATAACAATACTTGGGAAACAATATCTTCATGAAGGGTTTAGTCCTCTTATGTAATCGTCTCGACTATGATTATGGACTTTTAAGCTATTTACCCCCCAACTTTGAGTTGCCTAGTCATAAGGCTTGATACTGGCGGTGTGGTATAAACGACAACCCCGTGACCAATTCCGATCTTCCGGTTGGTCTCATAAGTGCACCCTATGCCAATCATTTATGCTTAGGTCGTTGTCGCTTGGCTCGGGTGGTTCTCATCACTAGATCTATCATCTTTAGCTGCCAACTTTGTTTCCGTGGCTCATTAAAATCTCCTTATCGTCCTTTGATGCGTGCACGTAACAAATATTGGGCCGCCTGAATACACTATGGGATGGCTTTATGAATATTTAAATTTTTATATTTAAAAACATGAAATTTCAATGTTTCAGGTAAAAGTTGTAAAAAATGATGGGACTCTCAGGAAACGACAACGGTAAAAGTGATCCGAGAGGCATTTTACTGCCGATATGAATGAATAGGTCCCATCGGAAAGCAGTCGCCACAGCTTTAGCTGTAACGTGCACCACGAATCCAGCGCTAGATTTTCCTCCAGTTGAGTCATTTAATAATTTGTTGGTTTCTTTGATTCCCACCAACTCGTCACCCTCACTTTAGATCCAGGCGGCGTTCGGGTGTAATCCTGGGTTCCTGACAGCCAGGAATCGATTATTTAAAGGGACCCGCCCTATTGATGGGCCTTGGCATTTTTCTGGACAAACTTATGGGTATAGCCGCTAGTGGGCCCTATCTCATGTACCCGTTACTCCAGGCCCCATAACTTAAAAAAATAAAATAAAATAATTTTAATTTGTTATTGATTTTGAATTTGGATCGATTACGTTGAACTCGATGAAGACTCGAAATTACTAAAAAAGTTATAAATTAAAAGTATATTTATATAAATCAAATTTAAATTTAAAGGATATTGACATACTTACGCATTTACATATCCAATATTTATATAACACCACAAAAAAAAAAAAAAGTTATTTCTTGAAAATGAAAATTTGGACCTGCTTAGAAAAGTTGGATTAACTGTCAAATAAGTTTTAGGACAACTTCTCTACTTGAAGGGCTCTCCCCCATTAATTTATTTTGATTTGATATTGTTAAATTAATAATTTTATTTTATTTTACAATAAAAATTGGTGACTAGGCACACGAATTAAAAGGACAAGCTAGTTATTTAGCACATATCACAGTCATGTTTCAAAATCGAATTAATTAAAATTTATCAAGTAAATCATATTTAAAGAGCCAGCTAGCCGAATAAACTAGATCAGCCCTTAAAAAAAAAAAAAAAGGGAAATTTAAATGCCTAGCACATAATTCTTATGCATTTACATATCTCACAACAAGTTTTTCATATTTACACATCTTTGTATTCTAAATCTACCTATGAAAATGTTTATTTTACTTATATATTTGATGTGATATTAAAATTTAAAATGCTCGTTTAAATATATAAGTATGGTTGCTATGTATATCTAAATGCTAAAAAATTTGTTGCTAGCATTTCTGCATCCTATACTCAGTAGTTTAGGCCAAATCGTTTTAGCTTTCATACAGAAACATAAACACGATTAGCCTTTTAAAAAATAAAATAAAATAAAAGAACCAGAAGCATAGATTGGGATTTGCATCTCCAGACATCTTACTGTTAAATCACGTGCAATCACGATGCGAGAGAATCAAACAGCACCCCGCTCAGCTTACAATAAAGCCGTGAAAAGACGTTAAAGTAAGAATTTAACTGCCTTCCGTAAATATATATGTATATTTTTATATATATTTATTTAATTATACAGATTAATATTAAAAATAAACAAAAAACTTACTCAGATATGTTCTATAAAACTAGCTTCCCAGCAGGTTGTAGCTCCATCTGCTAGCAGCAGCGCATATTCATGAGCGAAGTATATTAAGCTGTTAAATTTTCTGAGAGCTTTAGGTATTCGATTCTCCTTCATAGCTCTTTTACCTCTTATTGCAAGAGGGTTTTGAGGTTTTGTTTGGCTGCGGTAGAGCTCCTTACTCTCCAAAAATGGGTTTTTGAGGGTTATTTGAGCTGCTGGGTTATGGATTCCACTCACTTATTCCATACCAAGTCTGCAAAGAAATGAAATAGAATAAAGTCAAAACTTTGGTGTATATAAATATATGGGATAGGCATGTGGTTTGCATAACTCAGGAGCTGGAGTGGCCTTCTATCTGGTCTTTTTTTGGATTGAAGGGAGCTCTACATCAACTCATCTTTTCCTAAGTTATCAGATTTATAAGAAGTTTTTTATTTTAGTATTATAGTTTTAGTTTGCAATTTAGTAATCATATTTCACTTAACTTCTGTAGAGGTGTGTTCTGTCACAAATTTGTACTTAGATTTTATCTTAAAATCAGTTTTTGTTCTGCCAATGTTTGCCTTTTTTTTGTGCTAATAGGCATTACTTTTCTTAGCTGTGTTTGCTGGCATCTACTCTAAGCAGATTCTGATTGTTAATTCTATAGTAACGAAAATTGATCTTATGTATATCATCAAATAATCAAATGGTTGATACATTTATATTTTTTAATGAACGCTTTGGTGTGTGTGTGTGTGTGGCTTGATCATTAAATTAAGAACAAAATTTGACTGTAAGGACCATTTTCTTTTGCATGTTTTATGTATTTATTTAGAAATTGACTCATTTGATGCTTAATGATGGTTTTTTTTCTTGTTTGACTTTGAGTTTGAAGGTTCATTAAATCATGATATTGAAAGCACGAGGTTGTTGTAGTATAATTTTTTAAGGTGCTCTTCAGCCTTGAATGAGGATAAGGTTGTTTAGAGAGGGTTCATTTTCAGCATAGCCAAGAGTTTTAATTTTACAGCCAAGTATAAAGTTCTCTTTTTTATTATTAAATATTTTTATATTTGATTTAATGATAATATGTACCTTTTATAATAAAATTTACGTATGAACATGATAGATTTTAAATTTGAAAACAAAAATTATTGAAGGTTTGTGTTCATTTCTAAAGATGATACGTACCGTTTATTTTGTTTTTCTTTTCTTTTTTTTTTTAAGTTTTTGTGGCTAAATGCCGCATGGACCAAAAAGCGTGGAAGGTTTGACGTCGCATGCTAATGTTACTACTTACCATGTAGGTTTTATTTATAGCTTTACATTCATATAATTGTTCCATGCATGGTTTTGAAATAGTAGAAACCATGTAATGGATAACTAGATAAGTACATTTTAAGTTAACATTAACTGCAATTTTTCTTAAGAAAGTATAATTACCCGTGTTGATCAAAAGCCTTCTCTGTTTACACTTTACTTTTTAATTTTGAAGTGGCTTATGAAATTTTATAAATTCAGAATATATAAAAAATCAATTAAAAAAATTCTACATTGTGATAGAAGCATCAAGCTTGCGTGGTGGTTTTTATGATTGTGGGTGGCTAGATTATATATATCTATGGTTGTAGATGATTTTTTTTACTTTTTTTTCCTTTGATGTTTTTATCTATTCTTTTCTTTTCTTAACCTTTTTTTTTTAATTTACGATTTTTTTTTACTTTTTTTTTCCTTTGATGTTTTTAACTATTCTTTTCTTTTCTTAACCATTTTTTTTCTTTTGCATAAATTTAATTTTAAATTAACATGAAGGTATTTATGTAAGATTTTAATCTCATAGTATCTGCTTTCTTGTCAGTAGTTATGATCCCTGTCTATAGGCTGTATTAATATATAAAAAGCAAAATAAAAAGATGGATTGTATTATTTCAATTTTGGATTGTCCTTTCTAAATAATGGCATGTCTTCTAAATTTTATTTCTTTGTGTCCCACTTTAAAAACTTTATTCCAAGCAACAATATCTAAGTTTTGGTGAACAATTCATCAAGTTGAAATTATTATTATTAATTATTTTATTTTCTTTTAGATCGAAAGTTGTTTATTTAGATTGACCTTTTTACTGTACTTTTAGATTCAGGCAGATATTATCAGTGTATTTAACTTTGAGGCATACATTCCACCCAATTCTTATGTATTAGCATATTTTATTTTGGCGCATTTGAGGCGCTTTTGCACTTTCTCAATTTTTTTACTATATCACCCCACATATTTCTACATATTTCTAAAAATCTCTAATCAAATCCATGTGCTCCTAGGCTAAAAACCACCTAAATATAAAAATTCTGAGTATTGTGGTGTCATTTGCTAGACGCATTCCACTATTCTATTACTTTCATAGGATCTCATTTTCCACCATTAAATTATTCATATGATCTTAGTTTCACATCCATAGAGATTGATGACTATTTCATGTATACAACTGTTGATATTTGAGTATCCACAGAAACAAACACCAATCTTTACAACTATTTAGGACAATTGACATTATATTAAATATAAATAGCAGATCCGAAACGGATTTTTAGATTATTTATCATCAAATTAGTTTTAATAAAAAGACTTGGATGGGGCATAACCACCTATGGTAAAAACTAAGAATCATTTGTCTATAATTTTCAATGTATTGAATTTGCATCATTCCTTTTTTTTTTTTTTTTTAATCAACCCAATACTGTCATGTATTGAATTTGCATCATTCCTTTTTTTTTTTTTGAATCAACCCAATACTGTTACGATTATGTCCTACAAGTAAGATGTTATTCCTTTTGTTATCATTATTTTTAACTGCATAATGAAGCGACATGTTATTTTTACATTTTTTTACTAATATAAAATTATAACTCATTAAAATATTTTAAACAATGTGATAATATTACATCAAAGGTTCCATTGCTATAAATTTTGATGGTTCTAATCAACAACTTTAAGCGCTCAGCATCAAAATATCACATATTTAGCAATAGTAAATAGTATAAAATTTTCATACAACCAAAAATATCTAATTATTAATTGTAAAAGCCCAAATGTGTAGGTCCACATTCATTTTCTAAACTGTGGGAGGTAGTGTGTTTGAAGTGGGAATTGTAGACTATCAGAAAATTTTTTAAGTAATTACGTTCTATATTCACAACAATTTTTCAATAAAACATTGAAATAATTAAAAGTTGCTTACCTCTTAAAATCAGAATCCTCTTTTATGCCCGCTATGCATCGTTCTGATTATTATGAAGATTTGCCCATGGGATCTTGCGTTTGCTCTCTTTTTCTTCCGTTCTTTCTATTCTTCATTCAGTTTGTCATGACTAGTTGCAATGTAATCACTTCACTTCTCTTTGTCAGCTGAAAAAATCAAAATAATTTATGAATTTATTTTCTTTTTCTATTCTTAACCAACTCTGATTGATGCTGAGAGGATTTAGGGGGAAAAGGTGAACTTATTTGTGTGAGAGAGTATACATTTTATGGCGAGAGATCTTAGACCTAAACCGACTAGCGTTTTACCCTAAAGCAAATTGGCCCCATTCAAAAGCCAAAGGTAGCCCGCTCAGTCACACGATTCAAAGCTTTGCAGAGCAGAAATGACTAGAATGCCCCATTTCAAAAAAAAATGGGTGAAATATGAAAATTCATTTTTTGTCCATTTCTTACAAATAAGAGGGTCAAAAAAATTACATATAGAGGGACTTTTGAGTCTCCTTTGCATGTAAAGCCAACATTCAATATATTAAATGAGTCAGAAGAGCTTTAGAAATACCCCATTTTGGTCCAGAGGGGCAGGTCGCTTTGCATCTCCTCACCTCTCTCGCTAACTTGAAGGGCAATCTCAGATTTAATATTTTTAGATGTGCTAGTCAGTTTGGAGCATGCCACCAACCAAAATGTGAGTAACACTAATGAGGAGAAACCCATCATAGGGACACTCTTAATAAGGAGCATGCCAGAGCTCATTCAACAATAAGCCCTTGATTCAAGCAAAAAAAAAACTCTATTTCCATCCCCTCCTAAGAGGGTTTGACTCGAGGCGAGAACCACTTCGAGAAACTCCCCCAGAAGACCAACCGACCACACCTCAACAATTCTCGGACGATACTGAGTGGTTTGCGTCCAACTTGGCAATGAAAAGTTGATATCTTGAATTTCTCACATTTTTTTAAAAATAATAAAACTCTAAAACTTTAAATCAAATAGAATCTGAACAATAAAAACAACTCGATGGTCAACAACGCCATAAACATCCAATTGATGTCCTGATAATTGATCGTCAACTAAAAAATTAAAAATCATATCTCCTAGCTCAGCACAAGCCTAGCCTTAGGAATGATTACGCACTCATCAACGACACGATTTACGTCGAGTGACATGGTGACAAGCTTCAAAGGTTACCCCAACGAAGGAAGAGACAAGATCCACACTTGGTGAATGGTGAAAGATGAAGCCTTGGTGCGGCGCTTGCTTAATGAGCAAAAGAGATATGAAAAGTGGTAAGCCTTAGTTAAAAAGTTGGCATTAGTCGCCCCTAAGGGCCAAATTGCCAACCACAAACAAAGAGCAAAATAGAAGTAAAATGGCAAAGAAGCAAAGGGAAACATAGAGTTTTCACTACAAAAGATTTTTTTCCTTTACAAATAAATTGCATACATAAAAATAAAATTATTTTTACAAAGTTTTAATACCAACAAATTTTCAGGCCATCTGGAGCTAAGAACAAGATATCCTTCGTGTCCCCTAGCTTTCAATTCCTGTCATGAAGACCATTTGGAACTAGTCTAAAGGGCGACAAATTCCTCCAAATCGATAAATTTGGGGTGCACAAGTCTCGACTTAATGAACAAGTCGACAGTCGTGACGGTACTGATCCAAAACTGCACATTCAAACTTCCCATATGTTGTGGAGGGTTTCTTGATGGGCGACCAACAACAACTTTGACAAGATAGAAATAGCTTCCTCTTGACTACAATTGCTTTTTTAATTTTCTTCTTGCAAATGAGGTCGAAGCCTCTGCCATTTCCGCAACGGCGGCCCATCTTGACTCCACTTAATCAAGAGCCATTAATTGAAAATGGAAATCCCTGGTGACTTCTGCCTATTCGCAACAGCCTCCATGATGGAAGCCAGCTTTGCCCGAGTCTCTGTTTTACCCTGTTAATTTTCATAGTCACAATCTTCCCCTTTAACATATAATTTCTTGATGGAACCAACAACAGTTTCGACAGGATAGAAATAGCTTCTTCTTGGCTACAATCTACTGCTTTTTTAATTTTCTTCTTGCCAATGAGGTCGAAGCCTCTGCCATTTTTGCAACGGCGGCCCATCTTGACTCCACTCGGTCAAAGCCATTAATTGAAGATGGAAAACCTTTGGTGGCTTCTCCCTATTCACAGCAGCTTGCACGATGGAAGCCAACTTTGTCTAAGTCTCAACTTTTCACTTTTGCAAGGCAATTCTAGCAACGATTTCCTTTTACTGTTGTATCTCCTTAACATCAGAGACGACCCATAATTATGTTGTCACCTGACCAAACTTGTCCAAGAAAGGACTTTGCTAACAGTACCCCTTTCCTTTGTCAGTATACTGGGGTATTGACAATATATGCATGTCAATCGTGACACTCTCAATGTGAGAGTAGTCTACCCCTTTCATTTTCTTGATAGCGCCCCCAATTGGAACGTTCTTAATCACCCAACCTGAGGAAGATGAGTTTTTAAAGAACTATGTTTCCAGTCTTTCATTTTGTTCCCGACACAAAAAAAATTAAAGCAACCAACTTAGCGGAATTGGAGTACCCGAAAGGAAAACATGTGGCTGAAAAGAAGGGATTCCTTTGCGTCGACAAAAAAAATCAAGAAAGTCATGACTGTCGTAACGGAGTTCGACTTGATTTGTGTCAGAATAACTCTGTACCAATTAAAAACAGCCTAGAGCTACTGACAAAGAGACAATCACAGACCATACCTCAACTGGTTCTTGTAAATGCCAAGTCATTCACAAATAGATATGTACCCCTCTCATTCTAGCAAGCCGACCAGAGCATAATAGATGGATCAAAAAATGAAGACCTCCACTCAGTCGCAATTGTCTATCTAAAGGATTATGGAGTACATTGTGAACCTTCAAAAATCAAATTAAAAGATAAAGTTAAAGAAGACAAAATTAAACGAAAGAAAGGCAAAGGAAAAAAAAAACGGTGCAAGCGCAGAAAAAACTCATTCAACTCTAATTTATTTGGATATAGAGGAAGACGAGCCGTCACAATAAATCTTTGAGAGAAACATCACTTTGACATAGAGATCGAGAAGAAAATAAAATTTTAATTTTTCTCAAAAACATTAAAAGATTACTCTCTTATTCTAGTTCAACAAGAAGTATTTTACAAATCAGCCTTTGGTAGCCTCGGCCGAGACGAGACCCTTCTTAAATATCCTCTTGCACAAAATCTATCTGTCAAGCCTGAATTCATTTACTCAATCACTCTCGTATTGTGCCCTTTAAATAGAAGCATCCTAATGAATTTCAACCACATCTTGGCAGATTGCTGATGTCTCCCATCAAACCTCCTTTGGTCAGACCAACACTTTGCGAAGATTCTCTTCTCGTCGGGCCCTCAACAATTTTTCTGTAAATCTCGATAGGGTCCGTCGACAAGTTAATGGCCACCACAAGTTCCTTGTGCTTCGACCGATTGAGGGACGCTGATTTTTTTTGGTGCAACCTGATCAATTGGCCGATTTAGGATCATGATGAGAATCTTAGTCGAAATACTAGTGTCTGAGCCACCCAACTCTTTGAGGACATTGGCACGATTTTCCTTTACAACCTACTAAATCAAGTCAAATGATTCCTCCTACTTCACCCTCTCAAAGCATCTTCGACTTTTCAACTAGCATCCTCTCCCAGGCCACGAGTTTTGGGCGAAGAATCGCTTCCTTTTCCCACAAGGATATTTTCAGAAACCGATCAGATGTAAGGAGGGAAAAAACCATTTTTGTTGAGTCATCTGCTATGTCTTTTTTTATAAATATCATGGGCATAGACACCTAATGAGTTCAATTATTAGAATTTAAATTATAACTGTCGAAATCTCTTTTACACTAAATTCTCTTGTTTTTATTGCAGATTTTGCTTTCAAAAAACAAGAAAATCAGTTAACTAAATATACATACAAAAAATGTGTCCACATCAATCTCAAGACAATCTAATGATTCTGATCAAAGAAGACAAAAAGAAGATACCCCACGATGAAAGAGTGAGAAGCCCCACAAATCCGCCCGACATCTTACACTTAAACCAATAGGCATCTTACACCTAAACTGACTGGCATTTTAACCTAAAACCAACTAGCCCCAGTCAAAAGCCAAACGAAACCCGCTAGGCCACCTGACTCGAAGACCAGCCGAGCAGGAAGTCCAGGTATACCAAACGATTAGAATGCCTTGCATGAACCCTGCTTTGTCCTTCTCTCTCTTATAAATATGAGGGCCATGTCAGGTATGAGGGACTTTGGCTCTCTCTCTTTTTTCATGTATTACACACATTCAATATATGAAATAGGTCACAATAGCCCGGGAATAGCCCAATTCGCCCCAAAGGGGCAAGTCACCGTGCATCTCCTCTCCTTCTCTTTTCGTCGCTCCCTCATGGTGCCTACCACTCTAATCTTTAAACATGACTCAAAAGGACAATCTCGGATGCAACTGAAGTACTAAGAGGACTTTGTGGCTTCTTAGCCTAGCCCACCGAAACAAATCGAATGCAAGCCGTAGAGTGTGAACACCGAAGTAAGGGACGTTGAACCCACAACCACCATCAAAAGCACATATGATCTAGTAGGCATCCGTATTCGAGTTAAATCAAAAAAGAGTTTATCTTGCTCCAAAGACAAACTCAGCGCCTTTAGAGGGAATTAATGTTAATCTTATAGAGAAAATATAACATTTCTCTTATAAATTTTTCTCTTTAGTTCATTCTGTCCTCTTTTGTTACTTCTTCCCTTGAGAAGTAAATACACAAACTATTCAGGATTCTACACGATTTTTAAGAGAATACAAAAGATGGTTAGGCAATTTTCTAAAGGTTTACATAATTCCAATATATTTGTATGCATGTCCTAGATTTTGGAATTAGCTTCTGATTTTCTAAAGGCTTACATAATTCCCATATATTTGTACGCATGTCCTAGAAAATAGCAACTGAGCCTGGTGCTCACGAGCAGCTAAGGCAGGTAACCTACAAGACGCTAGTAATATGTTTTTCGCATCAATCTATTAACTCAAAATCATTAAATTTAATTTTAATTAGTCATGTCATAATTACCTTAAAGAATTTGATGATTATAACTTTA